AAAGTATTTGGCTCACAATATTCCTTTATGGTCCTTGTGATCTACAGAATTTTGTCCATTTTGGAGTCACAACAGGTAACAGATGATCAAAATAAACATGAGGCAATTGGGTCATGAAACGAACAAGGAATCAAGCAAGAGGCAATGGGACTAAAGTCTATTTTACTCTATTCATTACTCCCTCTTACCGAATAATTCAGTGTCTCTGTTCTCACATTGCAAATGTCTTCATATCTCCTCCCAAATTGGCCTTTGGACCTATATGTCTTGGCTGAGTGTAAAGATCATTCAATAGACTTAATATGCTCCATTGAATGCTATTTGCCAAGACTACTTGCAAGAGACACTGTGGGCTGCCTACTCAAAGCTCTGCTTTTATTCTGATATCCAAGCCTCCCCACAAGTGGCTCAGATAAATCCTGTTTGGTTTAAAATAATCATGGCGGCCCTCTTCCCCTTGCCAGTGACTGCCTTGAACCAATGAGATGTGACACAAAATGTGCTGAAGAATGTCCAGGAAAAGTATTGCCATAGCTCTTAAAAAAAGACTCAAAGAAGAACGAATGCCTTTTCTGCCCCTGGAAAGCACTAATGTGCAAAGACATGGTTAATGTGTCATGACCCTGAGAGGAGCTAGCCAACCCAAAGAGGCTGGCTGAACAGAAACAGGAACATAACTTGAGTCCTTCATGAGCCCAGCAATTAACCAGCTCTCAGGACTGATTTTGTGTAATGACACAAAAGCTTCCTTTATGGTTTAAGCAATTCTGAACTGGATTTTCTGTTTCTTGAAGCCCAAAGCAATCTAAATGATACAACACCTTTTGAAGAAGCAACACAGTACTCTGCCTCTCCAACAACTTTGTAACAAAGGGATAGTTGCTCCCAAAAAAGGAAAGAGACTAAGATTTATTTCTCAACAAGTGTATTGGGAAAACCAGCTGTGAAAAGGTATTTTTAACAGCTATTCATGATGTGTGGAGAGGTCTTTGAGATCCTCCCTCACAACATAAACACTGTAATAAAGTTCCGATGAGCCACTATGCATGGTATGTGTGGGGATATACAACATACTTGGAGTCATCATCATACGTAAACATTAGGAAACTACCATGAAATTAGTCTTTATTACTCATCTACTCTTATTTTCTTCCAAAATTATAAGATTGAATTTATTTTCTTGCTGTCTCCCCCAACCTGATGAAAGTGCAGAAGTACACAATTGGAGGGAAACTTAGGAAACTGGGGCTTAAAGATGTAGAATAACTTGCACAAGGATCCAGTTAGTTGGGGATGATTTTCTTCATAATCAAGAATGTTTTATGCATGATTTTAAAATAAAGTCGAGGCTGCAGTGTGCCATAATCACACCACTGCACTCTAACCTGGATAACAGAGTGAGACTCTGACTCAAAAACAAAAAGCAAAAAACAGCAACAACACAAAAAAGTCATTTGCTGAAAACTCAATGCAATGCAAAGTCAAACTGTAAAGACTTAGGAAATCAAAACAGGCTTTTTTTCTTTCTTTTTAATAATTTAATCATAACAAATCTCCTTTTTGAACTTACTACTTTGAGCTTCTTCCTATTTCTAACATCCTCCTAAATCCCAATCCATATTTATTTCTCAATACCATTTCTCTCTCCAAGAAAATCCTTGTATATGGTGCACTTACTGAGCTAGCAGTTTCAAAAGCCTGTTTACATAATAATTACCTGGGAAATAAATCAGAAATGCAGATTCCCAGGCAGAGAGGCTAATTTAGTAGACCCACAGTGGGGCACAGAAATGTCAATGTAAGTAAGGGTCCCACATGATGCCAAACATGCTTTGAGACACATGACTCCAGACTGTATACTAGATTCCAAGATTCAAACAGAAAACATCTAATTATCCTAGCAGATTTAAGCTGGAACTACAAAAATATGTGCATGGCTGCCTATAATTTTTATGTTCCCTCTGAGGTCTGAAACAAACCCAACATCTCTGTGATTTGAATGTACCCTGGTAATCATTTGCTTTAGAGGTTTGGAGTTTTTATCCTCCCTTCCCCCTCCCAGTTTTTTTTTCCCCTCGGAACACATTTTTACTTCGGATTAAATATAAAATGTCTTAAGTCTCCCTTCACAGCTAAAGGAAATCAATTTTAGAAAATGTTTCAAAAGAGTACTTTAAAAAATACACAATACAAAATGTCTTGCCTTTGAACCAGAAGCCTGAGATGCACAAGGCAAACAGTAGGTAATGAGAGAAGTAAACACTAGGTTTCCAGCAGAATCAGCCCTGAAACCAAAACTTAGGAAGGAAGCTGACCATTAAGTAAGTGGCCCAGAGGAACAATAGCTCAGGCGTATCCTCGGGTGAGTCTAAACCTGAGAAAACTGGAACTAGACAAACCTCTTGTCCCAAGTTAACTTTCTCTTACTGCTCAATTTAAAAATAAGGACAGTGCTGTAAATGAGAATGTAGAGTTTCAGTGGAATCTTAGAACTCCTCCGGGTGCCAAAGAATTTTTTCAGACCTAAATAAATACTCTTTACTGGATTCAACACTGCTCATTTATATCTATCTCCTCAGGGACATTTTAAATCTAGAGGCTTGAGAGACCAAGAACTCAGCATGCTAAGTACTTAAGTCTGCATATTCTGACGCTAGCTCTTACCAACTCGGTATGGTACAAGAGCTTGTCCATAGATAGATTTCTTGATGATTAAATGAATAAACAAATGCTATAAAACCAAATAAAATCATTCTCAAGTATCAAAGACAAGGCATAAGGCTCCAGAAATGTTATGAAACAAATAACGGCAGCAAAAAATTGGTTTAAATGGATTAAAAGGCAAAAAGTCAAGGTCACAACTCTAACTTGCATAGTCCAGTTGTCGACTCTTTAGGTCAGGAACAAGGATGGACTGAATGTCATGGGATCAGAGGAGGAAAGAGTAGAAAAAGAAGAAGAAAGTGAGTCATCAGCCAGGAAATGTTCAAGATCTACCTTAAGGGTTTTGTTTTGTTTAAAATCTATTTTTCTTCTTCTTTAAAGAGTACTAACAATCCTCAGAGCAATTTAGAAATGGGAAAAGTACAGCACTGGCTCTGCTGGATCACCAATGGCTCCTGGTCTCTCCTAGTCCAACCACGCCCTCCTTCCAAATGCATGGCTTGAAAAGGCCTGCTGCCTCCAGCTGGTTCCTAATTGTCTCCTCCAGCCCCTTCCAGTAGGTCTGAAGGCCTCCTTAAGACTCCCCATGGGCTACCGGATTGGTGGCTCAGTTTGTAATCCCAGCACTTTGGGAGGCTGAGGCGAGTGGAGCCCGGAGGTTCGAGACCAGCCTGGGCAGCTTGGTGAGACCTCATCTCTAAATTAAATTTAAAAATTGCCAGATGTTGTAGTGCATGCCTGTAGTTCCAGCTACTTCGAAGGCTGAGGCAGAAGGATCACCTAAGCCCAGTGGGTCGAGGCTGTGGTGGCCGTAAGCATGTCACTGCACTCTAGCCTGGGCAACAAAGTCAGACTCCAACTCAAAAAAAAAAAAAAAAAAAGACCTCATGGCCATAAAGCAGTCACTCTTCCCACACAGACTTGGCTGGAACGTGTATCTGGAACCTTCTGGGTTTGGCATTTGTCCTTCAAGTGTGCAAAGCTCTGCAACTAAGATCTAAACTAGATTTTCCATTTAAAAAATGCCTGACTCTGGATTTGGGGAACAGGCACTCAACTGTCATCTCAGAGCATCTGGAGTTATTTTCGAAAGCCCAGTTCCCAGTATTTTAAACACGTTTCATCAGGATTCTTTGGCATTTGGGGGACATCCTCCCTGTAAACTTGCATGTTCTCTGTTATGCTTCTTAATTATTCTTGAACATGCAGTTCTGATAAGGCAGGGCAAGAAAAAATTTGATCAATCATGGAGCAACCATGACTCTATCCAATGGCTTGCCACCAACACACAAAACACTCTTGTTTCTTCATGGAAATGAGGAAATTATGGAAAGGGTTTGGTATATATGCATTCTTTCTCCCACAGGTAATATCAAGTGCTCGACAGATATATGAAAACCAACCATCACAATCTCTCTCAGAAGAATATCAACTTATCCTGAAGAAATAACTCAAGTGTGGATAAAAGCCAAATGTATAATACATCAGATTAGCAGAATTTAGGGCTTAATGATTAAGGTTAACTGTTACACTATCATTCTTTCCTTGTGCTCCAAGCTGCAATCAAAAACATACCACCGAAGTCAATGAAAGGTTAGAACATACACACAAGCAGTAACTGATATACCAAGGGAAGTCAGCAAAGCCGTTTATAAAAGCATCAAGCAACAGTATGTACACAAAAATTCAAAACCACTCCGAGAGTGGAAATACCCCTAGTAGGAAAACCAGGTCCCTAGTGAATGTTTTGATTATCTTAGAGGGCAAGTGGACATTTGCCAAAATAATTGCTTTATTCTTTATACTTCTTCAAATACTTTAATACATGTAACTTTTAAAATCAATAACCTTGTAGATAAAGGGGAGCCTATTATCCATATTTGATAGATAAAGAAACCCAGGAATTTGTCCAGGGTTGGTTAAATGGCTTGTTAAGAAATTTCAGCTCTAGAATCCAGGCCTCCTTACTCCAAACCCAAGTTCTGTAAACTCACAACATATTCTTATTTGTCCTTAATTGTCACTGAACATTTAACCCTCCAAAACTCTGTGTGGTGACCTGCTATCGTGGGCAACACGCTCCACAAAATCCCCCTGAAAACTCTGCTGCTGGCCTGGGTGCACAGGCACTTCCCTGGCCTCCTCTGCAAAGGCCAGCTGGCATTTGCTGCTGCTCTCCACTGCAGTTAACATTTCACACATTTCTTTCCTAAGCCTTCAGCATACCTGATGTAACAGTGAGAGAGAGAAACATAAGCAGAACTGAGACCAGCTTCACTGCTAAAATAAGAATTTTCTGGGGAAAGAAAAAGACCAGCAATCAGTCTTAAACCTACTTTGCCAAGTGATTCATGAGCAGCTGTAACATTTGCCGATTTTTCTCTGGGAGTCGATGAACAAGGCTGTGGATTTCGGAGACCCGGGACTCCTGGTTCTCCAACTCTGTGAAGGAAGTAGAAAGGTAATATTTTATTAGCATCATGGCTGAAACACTTTCCAAGATGAAAAAATAAAGGGAAACCAAAGATTGGACACTAACAGGCTGAACATTTCTTCAAGAGTTATGATCCTGCTTGTGTATGTGCTGCATGACCAATGTGACTAGATCTAGAAATCCTTTCAATGGTGCTTTCTGGAACAGTGCTGCCAAAAAAATTGCCATCAAAAGATCCAAACTGAGATGATGACATGATAAAATGGAGCCAGTGAACTGCATAGCCAGAGCAGGAACAAACTCAGGAGCAGCTGGCTCCCTAGAGGGACAACTTCATTTCAAGGAAGGAAAGAACTTTGTGCACTTGTAAAGTGATAAACAAATCTTACGTGAACAACATTGCAAGGGTTTCAAATATCAAAACAGCGACTTGAGACAGCATCAAAGAAATCGGAGGGAACATCTATTATTCTCAAATCATGTATGATACTCAGCCTGGTAGAAAGAAAGCAATGGCAGATAAAATATTTAAATACTTCCACCAACTTGTAACCTAAATCATGGCTCATCACATTCTCTTGGTTAAACATGGGTACGTGGCTTTGTTTCTCTGGCAAACAGACTGATGGTATTTACCACATCTATCAGTAGGACTGATGTAAGGTTTAAGTAGAGAATGGTTGTCATGGGTTTGTAAGTTCTCCGAGAAAGAAGTCACATGAACACCATTTTCACTCCTAGCTTTCTCTCATGTCTTTCTCCTCCATGTTTTAAGGGGACAACTATGAGTAGATAAGACCATCAGAACATTAGGTACTGCTAAAATAGGTCAGAAATAGGTACCAGGGTAAACAAATTCTAAAGGCTGAAAGGAACCAGGGAGTGGCACAAACCATTGACATCATAATACTGTGAGGACTCGTGACTGATTTAAATCTGATAGAGAATCTTTCTGCCCCCTTACAGGAGGCCTGCCCCACATGGCCAGATTCCAGTATATATACTTAGGGTAGCTTGCACCTAATCCCTATGTATTTTAATACCAGTAATATGATGCTAGAGACCTGCATGATGTAGTTGAAGAATGATCAGAAGCTGTATATGGAAGACATGATGGAAAAGAGGGCTGTGAAGTTACATAAATGGTGTCATATTCAGGGAAACATTTCCAATGCTCAATTTAGGTAATGTGCAATGTCTGATTCATTCTGCAAAATGCTACTCAAAGGCTGGAAAAAACCTAAGAAGTTAGAACTCCAATAATCAAAACTAGAAAGACAAACCTGCTTCTCTCACCCCTCCATACCTTCCCCCCCGCCAAAAAAAACCACTTCTGAGTTTCTCTCCTCTGTAAATTCAACATGCTAGCAAGGCCCTCAGCAATTCCCATTTGATTTCAATTTTATTCTGCATCAGAATCTCATGAGTATGCTACATGGCCAGTTTACATGCAGAAAATGAAGGGTTAGGTAATATTTATTTTGGGATACAGGCTATTCTTTGAAATAGAAAAATATATACGCTTCCCCTTAAAACTAAGACAAAAAGACTTACTTGCTGCTTTAATGAAACTTCTTTGAAATTGATACATCATGAGTGGTCCTGGAAGCATTCTGAAATAAAAGAATATAGGTTAGTCAGCTTAATAAAAAAATCATATTATCTCCAAACAACAGCTTAGAGACTGCCAAACTGTATTATATTTCTCAAAGACAAAGATCACAGGGAGACAATAGCAACTTCATATCATTTTCCTGTTGAAAGGGTTCTTAGATTTCACCTGAAATTTTTGTTCTCTCTCTTTTTTTTAAGGGAATGGATATAACTATGTTTCACAGTCAACACTAAAATAGTGCAAATGCAAAAGTCTAGCACAAACCAAAAGATTTCCTTTCCAGTCAGTGACTCACCCATCAACAACAGCATTTCAGGATGTATTTGAGAAACAGGCAACTAACTACACATTTGCAAATACCTGTATGTAAACGCTTGTTTTCCCAGCAGCTTGTTGTTAGAATCAGTTCATCTAGAAACACTATGGGAAGACTTTTGTAGATGTTTCTGTGTTAAATTCACTATGGATCATTGCTCCAGAATGTCCAAGAGCTAGAACCCTTAATATTAAGTATATACAAGCAAATTTTATCTGCTGGGATATGAATATGTTTAACTATAAACTTGAGCTTTTTTGGTTTTTGTTTTTTTTCTAATAGTCCAAGTAATAAACTTCTCAACAGACTATACATTATTCTTGGCTCAGATTTTATTCTCATTGGGTCCCTTAATTCAACTGTTAGTCAACACTTACATTACCTCAGAGCCAATAAAATCTGCCTCACCAGTTCCTTTTCTGTGGCACTCCTCCTTTTCCTTCCAGCCAAGTGCATCTTTGCAAAACTTGTACAAAGGCTTACACAATTCCTGATTACAGTTCTCTCTCTGCTTAAGACTAGGTTGCGCCTTCCCATGTAAGAAGAACTATACAATATTCCTGCCCTTCGAGTCCAGGATAAATTTAGTCTATTCATGAAACTGAGATGCAGGTAATAACCTAGTCCTTAGTAACCAAGGGACGGGTAGAGACATAGTAATAACATCAAATATATTAATACAGAAAAACAGTCTTTTCAGAAAGGTAATATTTTCCAATTGTGAAAAGAGTGAAAAACGAGTTTCATTAAATTCTCATTTTTAAGAATCAATGTCAGCAATACACTCCATCTGTGTAACGCACCAAGCTATCAAAATATATGGGGTAGGTAATCATGCGTTCTCAACAGAACATGATCCATGATTACTTGCTTTCTTAACAGGTTATTCAGGGAGACCCCATTAGAGGTTCTGTTCAAGGCTAATTACCACAGTGCTTCTCATAAGAGCAAAGTTTCCTAAATCACTCATGGCACCATTGCACAATGGCAACCCATCAACTATGGATGATTTACAATCAGTTTGACCAGCTGAGTTAAATGCACCCACACAGAAGCTGTTTCCACATCTCAAACACCCACCCAACAGCTCTCTGGAGACTGAAAATAAAACTGCTTGCTTCCTGATTGCATGATAACTAGGTGGCACCCTGCCCTGCAAATAGAAAGTCCCTACCTTAGGTATGTCTTCAGAGCACTAGTGATAGTCTTTATCTCCCATTCAGCACAGATATCCGTTTCTGTCTCAGAAGCTGTCTTAGGATCTAAAATAAAGAAGAGACAATGCGTGAGGCAGAGCATAAAATACAGCTAATAAACAAGCATACAGAAAGGCGTTCAGCCTTGCTAGGAACTAGAAAAATGCAAAGTAAAACAAAATGACACATATGTTTTGCCTGTTAAATTAGGAAAATGTCTTTTTTAAAAAAAATCCAAATATCTATTACCGGTAAGAAGGCAGTGAAAGTTATCCTCTCATAAATTGCTGGAGGCAGTAGAGATAAATGCAACAGCCTTGAGAAGTAATTTGGCAATATGTATCAAGAGTCTTAAAAACGTTTATACCTTCTGAACTGATAATCCCATTTCTCACTATCTACCCTCAGGAAATAAGATAAAGCCCAAGAAAAGTTACAGACCCAGAAATGTTCAGTACACAATATCTTCCCAAGCAGTAGAAAAAAACAAAACAAAACAAAGCAAAACCAGTCTAAATGTCTGATTACAGAAGCACATTAAGTGAATTACAGTATGTCTACCTGATGGAATATCATCGTGCCATTTACATGACAACCACGACTATAAAGCAACATGGAAAATGCCTATATTAAATAATATCAAATTAAAAAATTGAAATATAAAAGTTTGCAAGAAACTCCTATGAACTGGAAGAAAATATTCTAAAAGTAAAATAATGGTTGAGGTACAGTGGAATTGTGGTTTTTACATTTTCTAAACTGTCTATAATTTTATTCTATTACTTGTGTATATTTTTTTAAATTGCCTTAAGCTCAGATGTGCAATGAAACCATAATTATATTGGCTCAGATAATTTCTTCCTTTGTTTCCTGTTGCATGGACTTTTAAACAAATGTGCATATTTTATATGTGTGTATTATAAAAGGAGAGGAGAGATAATTCTTGCAGTCTTCCTGAACAGCACACAGAAGGTGAACTAAGAGGCAGAATTGGGGAATATGAATTGTTAATAGAACCCCATTTTGCCCCTGAGGTTAACACACCAACTGACAGGAGTGGAGTCTTTCAGCACAGTTAAGTACAACCCAGCTTCCTCACACTGGCTAAAGCCTAGCTATTTGCCTACCAGCTCCGATTCACTTATTTTCCCAAGCAGTGCCTCATTTTCATTTGGAGAGCTGTTCTTTTCTTACTTCTTCCAGAAGTGAGGAACGAGATTCAGGGCAGACTGATCAACAGCATAATATCTTTCTGGACCCAGGGACTGGTTGAGAGATGACCCAGACCCAAGCCAGTTCAATGGGAGTGCACTTCAGGGCTTTTCCAGGAGACATGGCAAACGGTATTTATTGTTGACTGGACTTGCACCTGGGAGGTTATTTAACCACCAGAGGCTACCATTTAGATCCTGAAAGTGAGTCAAACAAACCCAGACATGAGAGAAACACATATAGCGGGTTTTGAGCCCTTGTATCTGGTCATGCCTTCTTGGTCACGTGGGCCAATAAATTCCTTTTTCCCCCTTAAGCCAGTTTAGGTCAGGTTTCCTGTTTTTTTACAATGCAAAGAGATCTAAATGATATACCAGGTAATCAGAGCCAGCCACTGGATTGTCTCCTTCTGGACAGTCTCCAAGAATAATTCTGGGACAACTAAGAAAGAGGTTCCTCCTGCAGAACCAACAGCCTTTCAGCTGGAAAAGGAGAATGAGTCACGAGAGGCACAATACGTGCTCTATTTACTGGGAAGGAACCCACTTTCATCCTAGTAAGAGGAGACCAAGTACTCATGGATGGCTTAAGGATTTAGCCTGTAGTCCCCAGGGAAGGACACAGATCGGCTGGCACCTACTGCTCTAGTATGTTCCCCTGACACCATTGGAAGATGAGAAAGGTAAGGTCCCAACTCAGAATCTGTGTGACTCCTAAAGGCAGAACACCTGTGTGATGTTTGCAGCTGACCCTGGGCAATAATGAAGTCTTTATTGTCACATGAAATACATTAAGAACGAATCTGCAGAGCATAATTTTTTTTCTGGGGCCACAGGATGGTAAGTCCCATAGAGTTCTAGCACCACAAATTTTTGAAAAGTTCACAAAATGTGATTTTCCTAATATTCAAAACCTCTGCAGTTTTAATTCTTTCCTTTCTTCATCAACTCACACTCCCTGGGTAGTTTCTTCCTGCAGAAGTGTATGTAACAAAAAACTTTGCTTAACATGACCTTTTTCCCTCCGCATCCCAAGACACATGGACACACGCCATTCTGCTTGGTTCCTGGATGTGAGACAAATGTTACTGTACATTATTCTGAGAAACAAACCAACTTCTACCCAAGAAGAGTGAACATGAAACTAAACAAGCAGCAGTTGGCAGGTCTGGGAGCTGTGAACTGTTCCGTGAACCACATTTAGCAAACTAATGATTAGCTTCCACTTATTCGGGTTCTGTAACCATAGGAATATTGTGTAACATTTCAGAGAGGAGAGTCAAATTACAGTCGGGCTAAAGGGCTTTTTATAGCACCGATGAGGCAAGGCTCACAACTCCAGCACATCCATTTTAATTCATTTAATATCCAAACTAAATCAAAGACAGCCTTCCAGCTACCCCATTTGTAGAAAGTGCTGCCCATTTCCACACCTCCCTCCTGATACTCCCCTCATGCCCAGAAGCCTCCTGGTGGCATCTAAATACTTTGTAGAGACATCACTTATGCTTTTCTTTAGAACTCAAAACATTTCCCTCCACCACATCACTTGACCACTGGTTCTTAGTAAAACAGTCCTGAACTGGAGGAGCAGTCCACTGTGCAAACAAGGTACCACGTAGATAAAGTGGAATGAACATATTTCCTCCTCAACCTACTACCACATGAAATCAGAAAATCAGGAGACACAGACTAGAAGAAGTGATTATAAGGGGAGATGGCCTTAGAAATGTCACACTGGATCAGTCCCAAGAATCATCTAGTTCACTATTGTGTTGCTAACAAAGACAGTGAAGGACATTCTGGAGGACACAATTAGGACATGATGTGCTCCTAAATTTCCCAGTAACACATTATACTATATGCAAATTCTTTTTTTCTTTTTATCTAAGAAGGCAATATATGCATTTTTAACAAAGAATTTGAAGAAAACAAATAAACATACATTAAAAGGTAAGTTTTTCCTCTGGTAAAGGCAACTGCTAATACTAGTTTTTTTGGTTTGTATCCTATCTCTAGCAGTCTATGTACATACAAGCACATATTTGAATAATACACCTTTTTAAAAATACAAATGGAAGCACACTATACATGTCATTCTGTATATGCTATTATCATTTAATAGTATCTTAAGAAAGGTTTCCATATCAGCACATAGATATATCTACTTCATAGTATAAGTGTACTATAATTAATTTAATGCCCCCAATAACTGAAATTAAGGTTCATCCCTCGTTTGGGTCATGATAAAAAATGATAAACTACTGTTTTCTTGTACATGGCTTACCCGTAAACAATTCCTAAAAGTGGAATTTCTGAGACAAAGGTATACACATTCCTTGAAAGCTGTTCCTCAGATAGCCCTCAGAGGTTTAAGAGTGACTTCTCACATTCTTGACAGCAATGCATAACCAAACATTTTGAGGTTAGCAAATTGGATAGAGTAAAAAAAAAAAAAATAGTTATCTCATTGTTTTAATTTGCATTTTTTTTAATGAGGAAAAAGGCTGAGAACTCTCTCCTGTGTGTGAATGTGTTTTTAAAGTTGTTTATTGAGGTATATTCACCCTTCTTAAAGTGTACAGTTCCGTGATTTTTGACAAATATATAGTTATGTAACCACCACTACAATCAAGACATAGACAACTTCCATCACTCAGAAAAATTCTCTCGGGCTCCTTTATACTCAGTCCTCTCCCTCTCCCTCCAGGCTCTGCCAATGTTGTACTTTCACATAGCTTAATACTTCTGAAATCCATCCATGTTGCTACATGTACCAGTAAATGTGATTTTCCTAATGTCTAATCTTTGTATTATTGAGTAGTATCAAATGTTATGGATATGCCATAAATGGTTTATCCACTTACTAGTTGAACATTTGGGTTGTTCCCAACGTTGGCTGTTATGAATAAAGCTGCTATAAATATTTGCATACGGGTCTTTGTTTTGTTCATCTTGGGCAAGTATCTGAGAGAGGGAGTAGGTAAAAATACTTAGGAGTGGGTCATATGGTAAATATGTTTAACTTTATAAGTTAAATCCTAAAAATCTTAGTTTCTTCCTATATCTAGTGCCTAAAAATCCAGAGCACCCCTAGCCATTTCTGTTTGAGATCCAAAAGCTCTTACTGGCTCGAGTCCCAGTCTCAGGAGCACCTGCCTAAAGCATCCCAACAGGCAAAGGTGGTGGGGGCTGGAGCAGAGGAAAGTGAGCTTCCATCTGTGGTCTACTTTCTCTGGTAACTCAGGATTGTGGTAAGTAGCCTCATCCCTAGCTCCCAGAGTAATCAATCCTCCATCCAAATAGTCTATCATCTCCTGGTCCTGTCATCATTTGTCTGCTCCCCTTTCCTGGTTAAGTAAAGTCCGAAGTTTGCTCTTTGCATGGTTCCCTGCTTCCAGCAGGCAGAAGTCTTCAAAGTCCGGGGCTGTTTCCACTTATTGCCATGTAAGCCTTTAGGTTTCAGAAGTCATGAAAAATATCTATTATTAGTGGATTTATTGAAATAGAAGTCATTGATTACCTTTATTTATGCTACTCTGTGAAGAGATGTGGGAAACGAGGAGCACAGAAAAAAAAAAACCCACAGATGTTCAAGGTCCCAGAGTAAGGAAGGAAGTTCATGGCTAGATCGGTGATAAGTGAGTGAGGCATGCTACTGCAATCCTGTGCTTTAAGGCAATGCTATATAATACATTCCTTGTGTCCTCTGTTGTACTAACTTTGCTCTAAATATTGTTAAAAAAAAAAAAAAAAGAGGGAGACAGGGAGAAAAGTTATAGGATAAGATGAGAAAAATAGCAATGCTGAACTTGCAGTCATTCCCCACCCTGATAAAACACTAATAAAAGCACA